GGGGCCTCTTGGGACTTCCCGAGAACCTCTCGGGGTAGAAAGCTCGGATTCTCGGTTCGTGTTTCCACCGTGCCCTGGGTGGTGGGTCAGAGGCCTCATGGGTGTTGGTTTGGATTGCGCGGTTGGCCTGTCGGGGACGTCGTGAAGGCAATTTCGCAGCTTCTCGGTAACAGTTTTGGGACCGTGGTGGGGCCTCCTCGGGGCTGCTTTGTGGCCTCTGTAGGCCTCGTTTGGGCCTCCTAGGTGCCTCTTGGGGGCCTCCTGGGGCCTCTTGGGGGCTCCTTGGGGCCTCCTCTGGCACTCTTCAAGCGGGATGGTCGAATTTGGGAGTCGTGGTCCCCCTCTTGGGCATCTTGGGGCCGTCTTGGGGCTCTGTTGGGCAGTCATCGGCGACTCTGGGGCCGTCTTGGGGCCCTCTTGGGCCGTTTTGGGGCGCTCTTGGGGGCCTATTGAGCCGTCTTGGAACGTCGGACAGCCGAAAAGGCCCGAAGGCCAAAATCGTTCGAAAACTTTCGTAAAATTGACGATTTCGGCCTCTTGAAGCGCTGTGGAAAGGCGTCTTGAAGCGTCGTGGAGTGCCTTGGGGGGCCTCTCGGGCCGTCTCGGGCCTATCTTGGGCGTCCTGGAGCGGTCTTTCGGCGACTCGGGGCCCGCTTGGGCCGTCTTGGGAGCCTCTGGAGGCCCTCCTGGACGATTTGGGACCTCCCCGGGCGCCCCGTCCTCCCATGGGGGTTCGGAGGCGGCGGCCTCCGAGGCCCATGACGCGGAAACCGTAATAAAAAACAAAGTCAATGAGCCCCGGTGCCCCCATGGAGGGTCGAGGCAGCTGTTTTCGGGCCTCGGGCCTGCTCCCCCTGGATATATATATATATATATATATATACACATATATATATATATATATGTATGTATGTATATATGTATATACATACACATATATCATATATATATATATATATATATATGATATGCACATATATACATATATGTGGTATATGTATATGTATATGTATATGTATATGTTTGTGTATATGTATATGTATATGTATATGTATATGTATATGTGTGTGTATATACATACATATATATACATATATGTATACATATATATAACCCGCTCCACCCCCACGAGTGCCAGAGCTGAGACCCAGAGGACGAGCGCAGCAGTCGGAGAGGGCAGCGCTTGTTTTACCTCGGTATGTGTACACAACTGGAGCCAAGCGAAGCAGTTGCTGCTGCTATCGAGAGCAGCCGGGATGCGAGCAGCGCGACGGAGCACAGAGGGGCCAGACAGAGGAGGTCCCCGCTAAAAGACGCGATGGACAAATATTCCAAGAACGGGCTGCAAGTAGCGAAAAGGGCGGCACGTGGGCGGGTGCACTTGAGCCTGTGGCCATCGGTGCATGGCCTGACAAGTGCGGCACTCTCTGCTAAAGGGCTCTGCTTCACGTTTCAAAACTGCAAAGCCCGCCCCACCGCCATGAGTGCCAGAGCTGAGACCGAGAGGACGAGCGCAGCAGGCGGAGAGGGCAGCGCTTGTTTTGACCTCGGTATGTGTACACAACTGGAGCCAGGCGAAGCAACTGCCGCTGCTATCGAGAGCAGCCGGGATGCGAGCAGCGCGACGGAGCACAGAGGGGCCAGACAGATGAGGTCATATACCCCATAGGGCAGACATGGCCAAGTCAGCTGATCTGACGAGGCCGACAAGAAAAACAGGCACGAACATGTCCGGGATCTCGTTAACTCGAACATTTGCATACGAGGCTAGCAAAGGTCTGCCTGGGCCTACCGATCACAACGTGCTTGAGTACTTTGGCAAGATCGTTGGGTGCGCTTCTGCCAAGGAGCGCCGAACTGACACTGGTCTAAATCGCACGTTCGGGCTTGAGGAGCCCGCAGGAAAGAGGGAGATTGCTCTGCCATGCCACAACGACGAGCTAGCTGGGTTCTCCAGCAGAACGGGCATGCGCAAACTACTACACAGGCGAATGACACGGCTCGCGAAGTAAAAAGTGGCGCTGCCCGCTCGCAAGCGGGCGGCTTCAGAAGCATTCAGGCCGCCAATGCCCATCGACTGGTCGCGAGACCCCAGGGGCCCCCCGAGGGCTCGCGACCAGGAACACGGCGCCGACGGCGCGGCCACGCAGCCACCCGGCCGCCGCCGCTGTCGAGGCCGAGCGGCGAGGGGCCCTGGCGCCGCGCGGCCGCCGCGAAGTGGCCTGACCCGCAGAAGAGCTCGAGCACGACGCGCCGCCTGCAGAGCGCCCCGCGCTGCGCCCCCTCTCGGAAGCGGCGCCGCAAATGGAGCCGCGCCGCCTCGCCAGGCCCGCGAGCCCCTGGCTCGCCACCAGCGGCGGCGCCGGGCTTCACGCGCCCGCGCCGCGGGGCGCCGGCACGCCCTCCTGCTTCCTGCCCCTGGGCCTGCATGCATCGCCTCTGCGAGCCGCGGTGGCACCAAGTGCAGGACGTTCGCCCCAGCGAAGCCCTTCTCGAGCAGCGCGCAGAAGCGCTGCTCCACGAGGTTGCCGAACACGAAGACGTCGTCCGCTACTCCCTGGAGCTCTCGAAGGAGGGCCGTCTCCTTCGCGCGCCGCCGCATCGAGGACGTGACCGCCCAGCGACCGCGGCGAAACACCTGCTCCAACGATCGCCTCTGCGCCAAGAGGTCGTCGCTGACGCCGCCGCGCCGCGCCCCGTGCAAGTGCGGGCAGAGATGGCTGATCCCTTGCGCCGCGGCGGCCAGCGAAAAGTAATGGTTCAGCTGGGCCAGGCTGGAACTCAAGAGCGGCGTCCCTGCGCGCCCCTTAGGCGGAGGGCCATGAGAACAGGCGCGAGGTAGGTCCAGGCCGAAGAGGATCGACTCGTCGAAGGACCCCGTCTTGCCTGCCTGGCCACGATCCGCCGGGTGCAGCAGCAGGCCCCAGAACTGATGGGCTACCCCCGCCTGGGCCGACGGCTCCACAATGCTGTCTGCGGTCGGCCTCGGCCGGGCGGAGGTAAGCCGAGAAGCTGATGGCCAGCCAAGCGGCCATCTGGGGCCGCGATCAACATCCCCCCAAGGGCAAACATCGCCGCTCTCGGAATCGGGGGCCCGGCGAGGGCCGGCGTTCGCCGCTTCCAGGCCTGCATCGCTCGAGATGCCCGAGGCAGGAGCGCGCCCCCTTGCCCCGGGGGCCCCGGAGTGAAGCGGGAGATCGCCGCAATCGTCTGTGAGCCGATGTTCGCTGCAGCACCCCCCAGGTAGCGCGTCGTGAAGTACCCCGCCAGGGTGGCATCCAGCTGGGCCAAAGAGCACCAGTACAGGCGGCGGCTCGAACATTAATCCACGAAGCTGTGGAGGAGGCGGCGGTAGAAGACCTCCGTGTTCGGCCGCGCCGCCTGCTGCTCCAACAAGGCCATCGCCGCGGAGCTGGTCCGACCGCTCGCCGCTCGCGCGGCCAGCTGTGCCCGCTGCCTCGCCCTTGCCGAGGGCGGGCGGGCACCGCGTCGCGGCGCGCCCTGCGCCGTGGCCGCCAGCGCGAGGACCAGAGGCCCCAGGGGCCGCCGGACGGACGCGGGCGCGAACACGGCTGAGCTCACGGCGCCTACTGAACCACCCGAGCCTGCCGCGGCGGAGGGAATCTGACGGGTTCCTTTCTGAAGCTATCCATCGGGCGCTGAGCTTGGATCCTGTTGCCAACGATAGCGAGCACAACTGATTGAGACAAGACCTCAAGCACCTCGATCAGGCGCTTCCCTTCGCACAGGAGAGCGCCATCGGCAATTTGTCAACTAAAGCAGCCATTCGTTTCCCATGGCTCGAGAGATTACGAAGCAGATGCCTGCGCGACGTCGCGAGTGCCTCGCCTTCCAAATACAAGATGTTGGCCCCAAAAAACACCGATTGGGCGCCGACGCTCCCCCATGCAGACCCCCTCGTTATATGGGCGGGCACCTCGTCGAGCTCCCAGGGGTCCACGCTGAACATGGCACTGGTCGCGGCGTTGCTGTAGGGGCCCTTGAGAAAGCGCCGAGACACCCCAAGCCTGCTGAAGTTGCCATTGCGGGGCCCCTGCGCTGAGGAGCGTAGCTGCTCAAGACGCCCCCATCCGAGATGTGCACTTCCTTGCCCAATATGTCCTCGTACATAACCTCTCCGAAGTCCCCCGACGCGCCATTCGGATCCACGGTGGGCGGCGGATGCCTAGACGCGACAGCTGGCGCAGAATGATCCTCCAAAGGCCGCTCAACATGAGACTCATCAGCAAATGAGACTCTCTTCGCATGGCGTGAAGGATGATTCGACGAAAGACTAATTAGGTGTACAATTTGGAGAAGTACTGAATTTCTGAACAGCATGATTGGACGATTGAGTCGAAGGAAGGACAGCCGCTCTTCCCGGGCCCCCCCGCTCGGCATCCACCCCTCCAGCCTGAAGCGAGCGCAGCCGAGCCTGGTGGCCGCCCTCAACGCGATAGCGCCACCTCTCGGAGCTGCGCCCCAGCGCAGCGCAGGCGGCGGCGGGGGCCCGCCTTCGCATGACTCCAAGGCCGAGCTGGGAGGCGTCGCTGGCCGCCAGGACGCTGTGCCACTCTGCTGACAGGTCACAAGTCAGGATGGGCAGCAGATCCCTGATCACGGTGAGCTCCCGAGATACTGCCGGCCAGATCTTGCCATGCCTCTCGCCATGGGCTGCCACAAAGCCGCAAGCGCTGCGGAGGACGGTCAACGCCTCCCGACTGATCATAGAGGACCAGGCGACGTGGCCCAAAACTGCTCGAAGCACGCGGCCGCTGCACCACCCGCGCCGAAGGAGACCTGCGATAGCGGAGTGCAGCCTCCATAGGTTGCGAGGCAAGAATCTCCCACGCCTCAGGCCGAGGCCCAGAAAATCGGCATCGAGCGAGGTGGGTTCGATCTCATGGGCTGGCAGCCCGCGCCGCCTGAACATGTCCACCACTCGGCGCGCGGTGCCATCGCCCATGGACTTGCTGCCGCCGAACGAAGATGTTGTCGACGTAGGCGCCGACGCCCACTGAGCCACGCGCGGTGACGTCCACGCCGGGCTGGACGTCCTGCGCCGTCATAGCCGCGCCGCGGCCGCCCTCGGCCAGCACGGCGCGGGCTGCTGACTGGCGCAGAGGCAGTGCCCGCGAGAGGCCCATCGGCAGCGCCGCGACCTGGGGCGACACGTTGACGGCGGGGTCGAAGTCGAGGTCGGAACGCCCCAGCTCCTGGAGCACACCCGCCCTGATGGGCGGCAGCGTGAACATCTCCTCCATCCCCTCGGGCAACTTCACGTGGTAGAAGGCGCGCTCTAAGTCGCACGTGGACATGCACATGCCGCCCGACGACGCCTCGATCGAGCCGAGGGACGCCGCCGAAGGATGTCTCGTACGAGGGGGGCCCAAAAACTTGCAGTTGGCGGCCCTCGCATCGAAGATGATGCGGAGGGGCCCCGTCTTCATTGGAACGAAAAAGAGGCCGACAGTGCACGGCTGACCCGTCGGCTGCGAAGGTCACCATTTGCCTCTGAAACACCTGCATCAAAAACTGACCGTGCGTGCTCACATCGCGAGTCAAGGCCGGGTCGCAGTGCGGTCCCTTGGGACAAGCGGAATCCGCCAGAGCCTCTGCAGCACACCGATGTCGAAGCATATGACTCCGCCAGCCCCCTAGCCAAGCCTTTTCCGTGGGCTGCGCCAAGTCCACGATGTTCACGGGCGCAGCGCCGACGGAATGCCACGCGACCTCGTCGCTGACGAAGGGGGCTGACGCGGCGGCGCCAGAACCATGCAGGCGTGCGCAGGAGAGGAGATCCTGGAGGGCCCCGTCTTCACCAGCGCTGGCAGGCCAGAAGAACTCCGCGGGCGGGGCCCCCAGCTCGTCGACGCTGTCGGAGATGTGCATGATGGCCTGGCGCTGCCCTGCGCGAGCTGCCGCGGTGGGCAAGGGCCGAGAGCCATAGAGTGAACTAAGTGCGTTCACGGCGGCGCGCACTCTGTCATCGCGATGCCTGCGCAGGCCAGCGCGGCGAGCAGAGCGGCGGCCAGCAGCCTTGTCAAAACGGACGCTGGCTGCTGCTGGGGTCGGCAGCGGGAACGCGTCGCGCGCTCGCGGCGCCCCGAGCTGCCGAGGGCCTGCGGCTGGGGCCGCACCAAGGTCCCAGGGGGGGGCTGGCCCATCTGCCCCCCCCGGCACTTATCAGGCATTGCCGTCTGGGGCTCCACGGCCGCCCCTCCCGCCATCTCTGCCACGGCCGCGACCCTGGCCGCGTCCTCCGTCACGACCGCCTCTGCCGCGGCCATCGCTGCTGCTGCCGCCGGCGGCTAGGAGTCGCTCCTGCCTCGCCTTGCGGCGCCCCTTGGCGACGCTCGCCTCGCGCGCCTTCTCGGCCGCCGGCCAGTCGCGCAGGGCCGGCGCCGCGCGCGCGTTGCCGCCGGCATCCGGCGCGCCCGACATCAGCGCAGCGCCCGAGCCGAACTCCGATGTCGCCGCGAACCTGTACGGTGGAGCCCCTCCTGCGTCTGAAGCGCGCGGCCGACCAGCTCCATGGCCGCCAGGTTGGCGACGTGGAGCTGGTCGTAACAAACCCCGAGCTCAAACAGGCGGCAGCGCAGCAGATGCGCGTCAACCCCTGGGTCGTCCGCCTCCAAGTAGCCCCCCGCGGCCCACTTGGTGTGACGGCCCAGGGGCGCCCCTCCATTTCGGCAGATGAAGTTGAGCACCCATAGAAGCGCACGACGGCCCTTGAGGGGCCAGTCGCCCCATGGCAACTCGCGGAGCTGGACCGCGGCCGCGCGGAAGTCGACGTGCCTCGCGCCCTGCGTGTCCAGCGAGACCGTCTGGATCCTGGCGCCACCGCCTGGCGCGCCTGCGATGGCCGCGAGCCCTGCCGCGAGGCCGCCTAGGACTGCGCCTCCAGCGGCGGCCGCGGCTGGCCCAGGCGCAACGGCAGGCGCCGGGACCGCGACAGCCGCGCCTCCCAGAGCGCCCGCGGCAGCTCCCCCAGCACCAAGGGCCGCGCCGCCAGCGGGCAAGGGGGCAGCGGCGGGGGCCGGGGGCGGCGCGGCGGCGGCGGGCACCAGGGCGCCCCCTCCAGCGGCGCCAGCGCCAGGACCGCCTCCCAGCGCCGCTCCAGCGAGCCCGCCCATCGCGCCTGCGGCGGGGGCAGCCGGCGCCGGGGCCGGGGCGGCGGCAGCGACGGGGCCTGCAGGCGGCCCCACTGGCGCGATAACGCGCCCAGCCGTGTTGAGCGCGATCGGCGGCCCAGGCGGCGACCCCATAGCCGTCCGTCCGCGTGGGCGCTGACGCCGCCGCCGCCTCGCCAGGCAGCGGGGGCCCGCGGAAGCGGTAGACCTGGCCCACTCCAGTCTGCGCCGAAACACCGCCCACAGCTCCGCCGCCGGGGATCGCGAAGTCCCTGATGTCCACGCCGTTCGGCACGATCGCCTCCACGCAGGCGCGCCCGTCGGGCGTCAAAATGCCCGTGCCGAAGGGCGCCATCGGCTGCAGCACTACGATCAAGCGCTCACGCCAGATCCGCGCTCCACCCACGCGGTAGAGCACCAGCGCGAAGTCCCCCTCGTCGAACCCTGCCTGCGCGAGGGGATGGCCTGCCGCCGCGGCGCAGCGGCCCGCTCGCGGACGAGCGCCGCCTGCGCGCGGGCCTCCTCCTCAAGGGCGAGCCGGGGGCCTCCTGCCGCGACGCGCGGCGCGCCTCCTGCCGGACGTGCGATGGCCCAGCCGCCGGCAAGCCCGCCCAGCAGCGCCAAGACGAAAGCCGACAGAGGCCACCCCGCCTGCTGCGGCGGGCAGACCAGCTGAGCCGCCTCCTGGCCCGCGCCGCAGACCAGCGAGGGCGCGCAGGAGCACGGCGGGCACTCCGCGCGGGCGGCCCAGAGCAGCGCGGCCTGCGCGGCGCCCTGCGCGGCCTCGCCGGCCAGCCAGGCGCCGAGGGACATCGAGTGCCTGCCCGCTTGCACTTGAACCCGTGGCCAGCGGCACATGGCCTGACAAGTGCGGCACTCTCTGCTAAAGGGCTCTGCTTCACGTTTCAAAACTGGTCAGAAAGTCGCCTAGCTGCGAGAGGATGCGCTGACATTGTTCCGACATGTCTAATTGTTGTCAGACTTCACATCATCTCAAGGGCACTTTGGCCCCCCACGGTGCCGACCACCAGAAAACCTTTTTTTTCGGCGCCAGTGGAAGGGCAAAGAAAATCCTGACAGAGCTCGCTAATAGAACGCAACACTAGTCTGAGCAGGCTCACTTACCCACCCAATAGAACGATGCGATAATACTACAGGACCACATGGTACAGAAGCGCGAGCTGCACAGACATAGTCCGCACGGGCCTCCTCACCTGAGCGATCAAATCGTCAATGTCGCACGTTGGTCCCGTATGTCCGCTTTTCTGAACCCGTGGCTTCGGAGTGAGTGAGCTATGCTGTGAGCTCGGCGCGGCCTTCTTCAGCTTCTCGTCGGTGAACTTGACCGCGGCGTGGTCGTAGCTGATCTGGCCGTCCATCACGCGGACGATTAGCTCTCGGCCCATGCTGCCCTTGGTCATGGGGTCGGCCCGCATGCCGCCCCGAGTCTCGCACAAGTGCAAGTCGTCGGTCTGCCTGGCGCGCAGCTGGTCGGGCAGCAGCTAGCCACCACAGTGGCCAGCCATGCTGTTCTCGGACGGCGGCCGCACCGGGTCCATGAACAGGGCGCTGGCGACGGACATGCCGTCTATGACGAGGTCTGCGGGGACCGCGCATCCTGTTTCCTCCCACAACCTCCTGATATCCTCGGCAGAGGCGGGCCGTGCACCATCTCGTGCAGAGCGAAGAGGTACGCGTGCAGACCGTCTGCTGCACAGCGTGCTGCAAGCAGCTCGGAGCCGAATGAGGGACCCTGCATGTGCGACGATAGCTTGCGAACGCAGCACCACTTCTGCGAGCACGGGCAATGAGCCTGTTGACGCAACGCCACGCTGGGCCGCGAACGTTAAAGTAGCCTGCAAGCACCACAGTAGCCTGCGAGCATCAGAATGCCAGGGCTCAAGACGCACTACGAAAGGGGGACGGTTACGTTACACGTTATGGGGGGGCGCATAACGCCACTCATGGCCAAGAGGATTTAATTACTCCGACGGAATGAACCCACATGAGAACCTTCTTAGTTCGCATGAGAGTCACCATCATCGACGACGAATGATGGTGATGATGCCAGGATGCCAGGATATCAGGATGCGACCTGTGAGGCCGTTGAAGCCTGTGGGGCCCGTGGGGCTTTTGAGACCTGCGGGGTCTGCGGGAACTGTACGACTTGCGGTGCCTGTGGGACCTGCGGGGTCTGTGGGACCTGTGAGACCTGTTGGCCATGGGGGACCTGCGGGACCAGAGGGACCCCTGGAACTCGTGGGACCTGTGGGGGCTGCGGGACCTCTGACACTTGGGGGCCCGTGGGACATGTGAGACCTGTGGGGCCTTGTGGGATTTGCGAGCCCCATAGGACGTGTGGGACCTGTTGGACCTGCGGGGCTTGTAGGACCGGAGGGGCCTGTGGGACCTGAGGGGCCTGTGGGACCTGAGGAGCCTGTGGCACCTGTGGCACTTGCGGTACTTGTAGAATCGGTGGGACCAGTGGGACCTGTGAGACTTGTGAGACTTGTCAAACCTGTGGGGCCTGTGCGACTTGTGGGGCCGGGCGGATCTGTGGGTCCAATCGGACCAGTGGCGCCTCTGGAACTTGTGGGACCCCTGGGAACTGTCGGACCTGTGAGACTTGTAGGGCCCGTGGGGCTTGCGCGGCCTGTGGGACCTATGAGATTTGCGAGCCCCGTAGGACCTGCGGGACATGTGGGCACTGCGGGATCTGTGGGACCTGCGGGGCCTGCGGCACCTGTTGGACATGTTGGACCCGTGGGACCGGTGGGACCTGTGACACCTATCGGACCTGTGCGACCCGTGGTGCCTTTGGGGCCGGTGACCCCTGTAGGACCTGTGGGGACCGTAGGGTTTGTGGGTCTTCTTCGGCTGCGTACCCTGTGCGCCCCAAGTTCCCCCTTTACACTTCCTTGCGATTCACTCACAGACGGGGCTCCCGTTAGAGACGTCCTCAACATTCAAGCCTCTGGAACCCAAAAATGAGGACAGGTTCCAGGTTTCCGATGACCCGCTCGGAATAATAACATCACTTGTGGGTCCCATGGAGAGGAGGTTCCCGCCTGAGACTTCCTCGCAATGCACTCACACACAAGGTTCCCGCCGGATACTTCCCCAATGTTCAAGCCTCAGGAACCGCCCGTCTGAAACATCCTCGCGATTCACTCGCAGAAGAGGCTCCCGCTTGATATTTCCTCCATATTCAGGCCTGGGGAACCCAAAAGTGACAACAGTTACAAATTTCCGATGACCCGCTCGGATTACCAACATGAAATGCAGGCCCCATACGGATGTGGGTTCCCGCCTGAGACTTCCTCGCAATTCGCTCACAGACGAAACTCCCGCCGGATACTTCCTCAATATTGAAGCTCCAAGAGCCCAAAAATGACGACTGCTATTTCTTTCCGATGACCCGTCCGGATTGCCAACATGAAATGCGGGCCCCATGGGGAGTGGGTTCCCGCCAAAGACTTCCGCACAATTCACTCAGTGACGAGGCTCCCGCCAAATATTTCTTCCATAGTCAAGCCGCAGAGGCCCAAAAGTAACGACAGTTACAGGTTTCCGATGACCCACTCGGATTACCAAAATGAAATGCAGGCCCCATGGGGCGGGGTTCCCGCCTGAGACTTCCTCACAATTCACTCACAAAATAAGTTCCCACCTGATACTCTTTCCAAATTCAAGCCGGAAGAACCCAAAAGCGACGACGGTGAACATTCCGGATGACCCACTCGGATTACCAACATGAAATGCGGGCCCCATAGGGAGGGCGGTCCCGCCTGAGACTTCCTCACTATTCACTCACAGACAAGGCTCTCGCCGGATACTTCCTCCATATTCAAGCCCGAAGTGCCCAAAAGTGACGACAGTTACAATTCTCCGATGGCCCGCTCGGGTTACCGACATGAAGTGCGGCCGCCAAAACGAAAGGGGTTCCCGCCTGAAACATCCTCACGAATCACTCGCATAAGAGGTTCCCGCTTGATACTTCCTCCATATTTAGGCCTGAGAAACCCAAAAGTAATGACAACTACAAGATTCCGATGGCCCGCCCGGGTTACCAACATGAAGTGCAGGCCCCATAGGGAGGGCCCCCCCGCCCGAGACCTCCTCACAATTAAGTCACAGACGAAGTTCAGGATGGTGATGATTGGCGATGATGATGATGATGAGGATGTGGTGGTGTGTTCCTGGGCGGGGCGTCCAGGGGAAATGACGTTGATTGATGAGAGTGTGTGATGTGCGACTGTATATGATGATGATGCTGACGATGATGATGATGATGGCGGTGGTGATGTTAGTGATGATGAAGATCGATGGCCGACGGTGATGGTGATCGATGGTGAATGACTGAATATGATGATGCTGGTGGTGGTGATGATGATGATGATGACCGATGATGATGATGACCGATGACGGGGGGAATGCGCGAGCGGGGCGGAGGAGTGGGAGGGAGGCGTTCCTGCGCGGAGGGTGTCCAGAGAGAACAAGAACCCCACTTTGGATATAGGAAAGAACACGTTCCTCCAAAAAGGCTCTCGAGAGAGCCCCAATATGCCAAATCCATTATTTGTCAAGCAGGTTTTTGCCAAACCTTGCGTTGTTGCCTTATCGGCTGTCCGACGCTCCAAGACGTCCGAAGTGGCCCCGAAGACCGCCCAAAATCGACCCAAAACGCCCCCAATAGGGCTCCAAAGCGGCCCAAGAAGCGCCCAAGCTAGCCCAAAAACGCCCCAAGACCGCCCCAAAAAAGACACCCCAAAAAGAGCCCGAACCGAAAATCCAAGCCTTCCCCGCCCGAGAAAGCCCCCATGAGGCCCCACGAAACACGCCCAGGAGGCTCCGGGAGGCACCCGAGAGGACCCCAACAGGCCCCAAGAGGCACCCAAGAGACCCAAACGAGGCCCCCAAGATACCCAAAAGAGGCCCCGAGTGGCCGCCAAGAGGCGCCCGAACTGCCTCCAAGAGGCCCCCGAAAAAAAAACCCACGATATCCCATCGAATATCCAATCGGCTCCATGCCCACAACCCAGGCACGGTGGCGGGACGGGCCGAAGGCCACCAGATCCCAGAGGTTCTCGTCCAGCTTGTCGTAGTCATCATCATTTAATTTAGATTCCCACTTTGCGTCGCCATCGTGCTTCTTGATGTGAGACGCCTTTGTGTATTCGTTCTTAACCTGCCGAGCATGGCTTGTATTATGTAATCCTCTTCGTCGCCTGGTAGCGCCCCATCCATGGTCTCGGGATTGTTGTTCAAACTCTTCACGGCTTCCCGATAACCGTGCTTCACTTGGGCGAGCGCATTCAATTGCTTTTCGCCCCATTCCCTCAATTTGGTTCAGTCACCCGAGAAAGGTTTTAACTGTTGGACGGCCTTGGATTCGCTAGCGGGTTCCCTTCCACCTCCTCTGGCCCTCGTGCTTCCAGCAGACTGTATACCTTCGGCGATATTGGAAACATCTTCCGAAGCGTCCGCGTGACGCTGGAGTTCCGTCTGAACGTATTATTTCAAAATGTTGGACTGATCCTCGCAGTACATGTTGCGGCTGATAACCGAGATCGGAACGGCCATCATCTTGTAGCTCATATGTAACACCTTGAACGCCTCGTCGTCGTCAACCGTCCTGGTGCCCAGTGTGGCTGCGCTCGAAGAGCAGTCGCACCCCTTTGTGCCTGGCTTTGAAGGCGGTGACAACGTACCTGAAATCTCCGTTCTCATGACCGGCGTCGCGCAGGTCCGCGAACTGGTTCGTACTCAAGTTGCACCAGGCATCTCGGACATCAAGCAACGATTCATTGTAATCCGGGCCGTGGTTTGCGGGGTCCACTGGGGTCGCTGCAGCGGCCGTTGCTGCCACCTCTGCCTTGGAATCCGTGGGGCGAACCAAACGCTCCACTACCATGAAACTATGGCGGGAGCTTTTTCACGAGAAGGCGACATGTTACTTGAGCCAAACAGTGACGGCCCACAACTAGCATGCACCACTGTAACTCCTAAACAGCGCTGATCACCCAGTCACATGGCCATTTTCTAACATCTTCTCCTCCTCCTCCCCATCACCATCATCATCATCAGCAGCATCATCATCAATAGCATCAGCATCAGCATCATCATCAGCATCAGCATCACTGTCATCATCACCACAATAAATCAGCATCAGCATCAGCATCATCATCACCACCACCATCATCGTCATCAACAGTATCATCATCGTCGTAATCCTTACCACGACCATCATCATCATCATCATCATCATCATCATCATCATCACCATCATCAGCATCAGCATCATCATCATCACCACCATCACCATCACCATCACCATCACCATCACCATCACCATCATCATCATCATCATCATCATCATCATCATCATCATCATCGTCAGCATCAGCATCATCGTCATGATCGCCATCATCATCATCATTAGCATCATCATCGTCAGCATCAGCATCATCATCATCATCAGGATCATCATCAGCATCATCACCATCATCCTCATCATCATCCTCATCATCCTCAGCATCATCATCATAATCATCAACATCATCAGTATCAGCAGCAGCAGATTCATCATTATCAGCAGCAGCAGATTCATCATCATCACCGCCACCATCATCATCACCACCGCCACAATCATCATAATCATCATGATCAGCATCAGCATCATCGTCAGCATCATCATCAATAGCATCATCATCAGTATCAGCATCGCCGTCATCACCATCACCACCATAACATCATCATCAGCATCATCATCCTCAGCATTATCATCATCAGCAGCATCAGCATCACCACAATCAGCATCATCAGTAGCACCTGATTCATCATCATTATCATCATCATCGTCATCATCAGCATCATCGTCAGCATCAGCATCAGCATCATCAGGATCAGCATCATCACCACCATCATCATCATCATCCTTAGCATCATCATCATCATCATCATCACCATCATCATCATCATCATCATCATCATCATCCTCAGCATCATCATCATCATCACCATCACCATTACCATCACCATCATCATCATCAGCAATTTCCACATGATCGGCATCATCCTGCTCCTCCTCGTTTCCCATCTGCTCCCGCTCCACATCCTCCCGCTCCTCCTCCTCCTCCTCCTCCTCCTCCTCCTGCTTCACCTTCTCCTCGTCCACCCTCTCTTTTGGTTTCTGCTCCCTCTCCACCTCTGCTTCATCGTCCTCCACCTCTTCTCCATCCTCCTCCTCCGCCTGCGCCTGCGTTCCCGTCGGCGGCCCCACGGGCACCTCGGTGCTGTTGATAATGCGCGCCACGTCCGCGTTTTCCATCTGCGCCTGAGGGGGGAGGACGAGGACAAGGGAGGACGAGGGGGAGGGAGATCGAGGAGGAGGGAGGACGAGGAGACGGACGAGCAGGACGAGCCGGTTGAAGAGGCAAGGGGCGGACGACGACGACGAAGACGATGAAGACGAGGATCAGATCCACTAGAAGGGGATGAGAGGGGAGGACAGGCCACTACAGTACAGGGCATAGGCAGAACAGAGGACAGAATAGGAAAGGACAATACAAGACACAACAAGACAAAACAGGATAGGACAAGGCAGGAGCAGGACAGGATTAGGATTAGAACAGGAACGGGGTAGGAATGAATAAGATACGTAACGAATGCTTACGGCACGCTGCGAGGAGGAAGAGGGGCTGACGAGGAGGATGAGGAGGAGAAATGAGGAGCACGACGAGGAGAAGGAACAAAAACGAGGACGAGGAGGCGGCGCAAGCGGGGAGGAGGCGGAGGCGGAGGACGACGACGACGATGACGATGACGAACGATGACCACCGCGACGACGACGACAACAACGACGACGATGCCAACGTCGACACCAACGCCAATGCCGACGACAACGATGACGACGACGAAGACGACGACGCCCCCACCGCCCAGACACCGCCGCCCTGGATGCCGCCGTTGGCGCCGCCGACAAGGCTTGCCGACGAGGCCGCCGAGGAGGTCGCTGAGGGCTGCCGAGAAGGCCGCCGAGGGACGAGGAGCGGAGGGCGCGCGGAGAGAGGAGGTCGGCCAGGGCCTCGCGCGCTGGCGAAGCCGCCCCCGCGCGGGGGCGGGGGGGGAGGGGCCCGCGGGATCGTGTAGCCCTTCTTCTGCGAGGGCGTGGTCAGGCTGCCTTCCCAACCTCTCTCCCCCACCTGGCCCTACACTGTGCACACTGCTCCCTTCACTTCACCATTGGCCGCTGGGTCGCCCGCTGGGCTTACCTCCGCGCCTATGATTATGCTGACCGAAACACACACTGCCTCTTGGAATGCTGCGATGGGTTGTTCTATGTCACTAACCAGAACTACTTCACGGTGCACTGTGAAGAGAATCGCGGATTTTATCACTGTGGTGAGGTAGTTGCCCATGCCCTGTCTGAGCAAAACTGGGTTTCGTATCAGATTGATCGTTCGGCAATGTATCACTCGCTTTAGGTTGTTAAAATATACCTTGTTACTGTCGGGTATTCTACTCTCACCCCATTGGTATGGTATATTTTTGTGGGCCACGCGCAATCAACAGATATGACTGACACACCGCCCGGCTCTGTTTTGCCCTGGGTTTCACGCGTTCGGCGCCTGGCTTTGCCCCACGCGCAGTGGGGGCACCAATTCCTCTGTGGGGGGGGGGGCGGCGATTTCTATCGGAGTCCGAATCTGGGGCCCGCCCAGACGCCGCGAGCGTCGGGGCCCACCTGGCCATGCCTGGGCACCGCCGAGCCGAGCCCGACGCGGGCTGCCTTCGCCCCTGGGTTCTGATGCCCCAGCTGCTTGCTCTGCCCCACCGCCCCCGCCCGTGCCGCACCGCCCACGCGCACAAGGGCAACAACCCACATGCACGCCAAGGCGCCGCTGCAGGCAAAGGCTGGCCGAGCGGCCAGGGCCAGGCGCGGCTCGGAACCGCGAAGGTGAAACCGCGGCGCGGTTTCGAAGCCCTGCCCACCGTCCATAGGAGCCTCCGCGGTTGGGGCGCCCCTCCCAGCCACACACACACACACACACAAACAGACACACACACACGGACACACACACACACACAAACAGACACACACACACACACACACGGACACACACGGACACACACACACACACACGGACACACACACACACACACGCGCGCACACACACACACACAAATGTACGCACGCACACACGCACGCACGCACGCACGTACGCACGTACGCACAGCCGCGGCGGGAGGAATGGGCCCACGGGCAGGAAGGAGGCCCCTGCAGCGTCGGTGCCCACTGGTGGGGCTTCCAAAAGATCCCGGAAGCGCGCCAGTGCCGCCGCGGGCAGGGTCGCGAGGAAGCCCTGCCCATCCTTTATAAGGCCCTCGACGGTTTGGGCACCCGCGGCGGAAGGATGGGGCTCCACGGACAGGAAATGGGCCCCCGCCGTGGAGCCGTCCACCGAGGGTGGGAGTTCAAGACGATCCCGGAGGCACGCCAGGATGCTGCTCAGAGCCCCTCTCTGCTCGGGGGCCGCCGCCGAGCCCCGCTCAGGACACGACGCAAGGACGCGAGAAGGTACAGCCGCCCATACAATAACCTGGGCCGACCGCGTGGCTGAGGCAGGACGGCTCGCGAAGCGGTGAGGGTGAGACCAGGGAGCCTGCTGGGCTCGCTTTCCGTGTTTGGATCGTCGCGCCCCTGGAGCAGCGCCGAGGGTCGAGCGTCCCCCGCTGGCCCGGCGGACACGAAAAGCAAGCGTTTTGAGGCTGTCGCGCAAGGAAATACACTATCCCCTCGGCGGCGCCCGCGACGACCCCCTGGCTTGCGTGATCAAAACAAATGTATCGCGCCCCGCGGGGTCTATTCATCAGCCCCAAGGGGGCATCATCTAATTCGCCGGCCCAACGGGCCAGAGGCGTGCTAAGATCTCCGGTAACTGGTTAACAATATTTCTAGTTCGCGCGCGCGGGGCGGCCCCTGGGGGTCTTCCGGCGAAAAGTATCCCGACCGCAGCCCGACCAAGTCTACCCAGAGATGGTTTTGAGGGCCTTTTTTCGACACCCCTCACGAGGATCGCGGCCTCCGAGGGGATGCACTCGACTACCCCGCCCCAAGAGGCCCCCAAGAGCCCCCCAAGAGGCCCAAGGGGGCCCCAAGACGCCGCCAAGGAGCCCCAAAAGACTCCCAAGAGGCCCCCAAGAGGCCCCTAGGAGGCCCCAAAGAGGCCCCCAAGAGGCTTCAAAGAGGCCCCATAGAGAGCTCGAGGGCCAGAGGAATGAGCGAAGCGATTAAATAACCAGGAGCTGACATTAGATGTGGACATGTTGTGGTTTCGTCTGTCGAGTCCCACCTGTCTGCTGGCTGCTGACACGGTGACCACGGGCATCCCGAGCTGGATCGTATGCGTGAGCGCGATGGCAGATGTCGGTGCAGGCGAGGCGGCCTCAGCGGCGCGCCTGCCAGAGCAGGAACGAGGCCGAGTCGGCCAGGTCGAGCACCGGGCTTCGCGCAATTGTCGACGCCATGGCCGCCAAGGAGCAGGCTCGGCAGGAGAAGAGATGTAGCAGAGGAGGTGGTGCTCGCAGTGAGGGTAGCTTATCTCCTCCTCGTCGTCCTCCTCCTCCTGTGCAGCCTGCCTGGCCCCCGCCGTGCCCCCAGGCCGTCACTATGCTGTCCAGCAGCCATGCGTTGGACGATTCGGGGAGTCGGTGCCGAAGGTGTCGAAGCTCTTCGTCGATCTCGGAGTGCCGTCGATGGATGGCTTCGCCCTGTTATAAGCTCGTGGCCTTGAACGGTCCCCTTAGGAACCTTCCCGAGGGGGCAGAGTTGCACATCTCTGGGGGTTGGGTGCACGGGACTCACAGAACGAAGTATAACCAAGATGTGGATCTCTGGCTCTGCGCAGTGCGCAGAATGTTTGATGACCAGCACCTTGGGTGTTTCCAATGAAGGCGACCCCCACCCGTGCTGGCAGTTTCGCCAGAAACAACGCTTCGTTGTGGCCCAAAGTCAATCGCAAGACTGGGAAGGACAAGAGAGCACATAAAGGATTCCCGTTTGAAGGCTTCAGAGATTTACGCATCGTCCTGGAACTCTTACACTTACTCTTGCTCCTCCTCCTCCTCCTCCTGCTCTTCCTCCCCCTCTTCCTCCTCCTTTTCCTCCTCCTCTCCATCCCTGGATCCCCTCCATACATCTCGTCGAGCTTCTTCATGGCGCCCTCGGTGTAAATGAGGAAGCGGCCGAAATTGCCACCTGCCCTTGTGAAGCTCTGCCTCCTTCCGACAGCCCATGGACGCGACCTTTCTCATGTTCACTATTTCTGTTCGTCGTCGCCCTCCCCCTCCTCTTCTTCTTCTTCTTCTTCTTCTTCATCACCATCATCGTCATCATCGGCATCAGCATCAGCATCAGCATCAGCATCAGCATCAGCATCAGCATCAGCATCAGCATCAGCATCATCATCATCATCATCATCATCATCATCATCATCATAACCATCATCATCACACATCATCATCATCATCATCGCCACCACCACCATCATCGGCATCATCATCACCATCACCACCATCATCATCATCATCATCATCATCATCATCATCATCATCACCATCATCAGCATCATCATCATGAGCATCATCGTCATGATCAGCATCGTCATCGTCGCCATCGTTATCATCGTCATCGTCATGGTCATCGTCATCGTCATAGTCACCATCGTCATCGTTGTCAGCATCATCATCATCGTCATCATCAGCATCACCATCAGCGACATAGTCGTCATCACATCATCATCAGCATCATCCCCATCATCACCAGAAACCTAACATCATCAACATCAGCATCGTCATCATGCACATCATCATCATACATCATACACATCATCATACACATCATCATCATCATCATCAGCATCAGCATCAACATCATACTCATCATACGCATCATCATCATCAATAGCAACATCATCAACATAATCAGCATTACCGTCATCATCATCATCATCATCATCATCATCATCATCATCGTCATCGTTGTGATCGTTGTCGGCATCGTCATCGTAATCGTCACCGTCGCCATCATCATCATCATCAGCTGCATCATCATCAGCAGAACCATCATCGTTATCATCGTCGTCGTAATCGTCATCGTCATCGTCACCGTTACCATCATCATCATCACCACCATCAGCATTATCATCATCATGACCATCATCATCGCGAATAAAACCAATCTAAACCTCGTGTTCATCATCGTCAGCAGCAACAGGATCGTCATCGCGGACGTTGGCGTCGTTCTCCTCTTCACCATGAGCAGCATCAGGACCGCCGTCATCAATACCATCACCATCGCCATTACCCCCACTCCCAACTTCGCCACGACCACTACCACCACCACCACCACTATCATCATCATCATCAACATCATCATCATCATCAACACCAGCACGATCCCACCATCATACCATCATCAACATCAGCAACACCAACACCACCACCATCATCATCGTCATCATCATCATCATCATCATGATTAGCATCATCATCATCAGCAGCATCAGCAGCATCATCATAAGCAACATCATCATCATCATCAGCATCATCAGCATCATCATTCTCATCCTAATCCTCGTCCTAATCCTCATCCTCCTCCTCATCCCCCTCCTCATCATCATCCTCAACATCATGATCATCGTCATCATCGCCATCCTCAACATCGTCACCAACACCACCACCATCATCGTCACCATCGTCGTCATCATCATCGTCATCGTAGTCGTCATCGTCATCGTCATCATCATCATCCTCATCAGCAGCATCATCACCATCAGCAGCAGCATCATCATCATCATCCCCGTCATTATCAACAGCAGCATCATCATCATCAGACTGCTATCTGCAAATCACCATCATTGGCAGCACCATCACAATCACAACCATCGTTCCCAGCATGATTAGCATCATCATCACCACCATCACAATACTAATGAGATTAATGATCAGAATAATAATACCAATAGTGATACGCATAATAATAATAACAAATAATAACGATGATGCTCATCATCATCAGCAGCAGCATCATCATCATCATCATCATCATCATCAGCACCATCGTCAACACGATCGATATCAGGGAGACCTGGCTGTGCAAGGGGGCCCAAGCTCGACAGGAAAGTTAACCGCATGAACAGAATTCATAGCCGCCGACTGGTGGAAAAGGAAGCAGATGGCCGGGGACGTGTCACAAGGATCGGAGCATGTTGCCGCTGACTCCAGAGAGCCCTCTACAATTCCGTGCCCAGAGCGTGCCAAATTCTTCGGCAGTAGCAAGCCACTGACTACACGCAAGATGAGGGTTCATTAAAACCTGCGTCATCCGTGATCCCAGCAAGAGCTACAACTTGCCCTGGTTTTTCAAAGATTTCGGAACTACCCAACAACTTGTAAACCATTGCCGGTACAGAGGTCGCAATCGCCGAGATGCGATTCTCACACTCTGATATGCCGTACCGCGTCTGCCTGCCCTTCCGAGACGCCGAGTGGCGCCATGCCACCCAACCCGCCAGGGACGGCGCTGTAGACGCGAAATGTTTCTGACAACTCAGATTATAAGCGCGCCTAGATTTCGGCTAACAACGATTCAGAATGTCGATTTGGCTCAGCTGTCCGTGGGGCCACACTCGGCCGATCGACCTGGCAAGATAAAAAAAATCGTCAACATTAAAGCATGTAGCGTACACGTCCGCTTCCAAGATAAAATCGTATAGCGTGCACGTCACTGCTGAGATATCATATGGGGTCGGCAGGGCGAGAAGCAAATAGCGCGCACGGACGGTGAGCGGGACTTTGTCCCTGGAGGGGTCCCGTGTACGCTAATGCTGGAGACTGACCGTGATGCCCGATCCTCCGCCAGCCTACTCAAGCGACCATGGCACTACTCAAGCCGCTTACCCCTCCCCCTCATCATCACAATCCTCCTCCTCCTCCTCCTCCTCCTCCTCAGCGTCATCATCAGAATCATCATACACAGCATCAGCAGCATCATCATCAGCATCGTCATCGTCATCGTCATCGTCACCATGATCATCGTCATCATCATCAGTATCATATTCATACTCATCATCATCAGCACCATCATCATCATCATCATCATCATCATCATCATCATCATCACCATCGCCGTCTCCATATCAATCATCAGCATCGCCACCACCAGAATCATCATCATCAGCAGCATCACCATCACCAGCATCACTACCACCACCGCCAGCATCATAATCATCACCGCCACCACCAGCATCTTCATCACCAGCATCATCATGATCGCCATCGTCATCGTCATCATCAGCATGACAGTCCTCATATCCATCAACATCGTCACCATGACCATCAGCCTCATCATCATCAGCACCATCGGCATCATCATCAGCATCATCGGCAGCAACATAAGCACCAGCAGGAGCAGCATCAATATCATCAGTGGCATCATACTCCGTCCTGCATCGTTCCAATGTTCCCCCTACCCCGCTGTACGCTAACCCCTTCCGCCCTTCCTCCTGGACAACAAACCCATCCGACAAAAAAAAATGTTACTCGTCCGCCCCGACGTATTCCTCCCCCTCCTCCTCCTCCTCTCCTCCGCCACCGCCGCAGAATCCTCCTTCGCCTCCACCTCCTCCTCCTCCGCCCCGTCTTCCTTGTCTTCCTATTTCTCCTCCGCCTCCTCCACCTATTCCTGCTCGCCCTCCTCCTCCTCCTCCTCCTCCCCCTCCTCTTCATCGCCCCCGTGTCCTCATATTCCGCTTCATCCTCCTCCACCATTTCCTGTTCCTCCTCCTCATCGCCCCCCTCCTCCTCCTCCTTCTCCTCTTCCCCTTCGCATTCCTCATCCTCCTCCGCCTCTTCCCCCTCCTCGTCTTCTTCCTCCCCAGCATGTTCTTCCTGTTCCCCCCCCCCCCCCATCGTATTCGTCGTCCTCCTCCTCCTCCTCCTCCTCGTATTCCTCCTTGTCGTCCCCCCTCCTCATCCCCCCCCATCCTCCTCCTCCTCCTCCTCTTCATCCTCCTCCTCCCCGCGTTCCTCCTCATCATCCTTTTCCCCCCTCTCCCTCATCCTCCTCGCCCGCCCCCGCCTCCCCCCGCTCCTCCTTCTCCTCCTCCTCCTGCTCCATTGCCTTTCCTTGCACGTAACCATATACCACGGAGAATAAACGCACTAGGATAATAAAGTTCGGGGGGCGCGGGGGGGGGATTATAAAGGTTGCCCACCAGAGGCCAGCGTAAAGAGATGATCAGAGATGGGCAAGAGGAGCGAAAGCCGAGGATATCTTCAGACACTACTGATACTACGACCACTG